CAAAGGAAGTAGGTGTTATCCTCAGAACATTAGGAATTGTATGCAGAGACAATTGTATTTGAAAAAAATTAATTAAATTTAAAAAAAAAGAAGGTCATGGTCAGATGCCTACTTTTTTTTTTTTTTTTAAGTAAAAATTCAGTTTATTCATCTGCTTATGATACAGAACACAAGGAGGCAAAGTGTTTCACACCCTAGATTTCACTTCCAACTCCTTGGAATGTTTATTTCCTTGGCTGAAAGGAGACTAGATGGGAAAGCCAGGCAGTGCTTGGGCAACTGAAATAAGGTCAGCACTGAAGCAATGCTAACATCATCCTCACATGGATGGGCACAGGGGACCATTTGTCGCAAGCTGATTTTCTAGAATCATTAGCTGGAAGCACAAGAGCACCGCTCCTGGATGCTCAAGCCGTCTCGGGCCAGTCATTCCCACCACACAGGTATAGCGGCGCTTTCTGGTAGTCATCCTTGGTGTCTTGCTGGATGTAACAGTACAGGGACTTGCCATACTTTTTCTTGAATTCGGGCCTGATTTTCAACATGGCCACTTCACTGGAGGAGATCATGATTCTAATCAAGACCTTGTCACATGTCCTCTTGCCCTCCATGGAGTCAGTTGGTCAGCAAAATATAGGGGCTTCTTCAGATACCTACTTTTAGAAACAGGGCTCAGGCTGCATGAGAATCATTAGATTATTTGTAGGCCCAGATAGGAGGCTCTTTTGTAACCCAGAAGAGGGGAAATGGTGGCCTGAACTTAAGGCATTGGGAATAGAGAGAAATTTCTGGCTTTGAGCTTGTTAAAGAGAATTTACAGAATGAACAAACTAAACCAAGAGGCAACATAGAAACAGACTCATAGCAGGCTGACAGCTTGGTAAGAGGGAAGTAAGGTGGTTAGGGGGTGAAGAGATTGAGCAAAAAACAGAAAAGGACTCACGGACATGGACAACAGTGTGGTGATTGCAGAGAGAGGGGAATGGGGTGGATGGAAGTGGAAGAGGGTGTAAGGGGGATAAATGGTAATGGAAAAAATACAGTAAAGTTACATTTTTATATATATTTACATACATAAATACATAAGTGTGTGTGTATAGAATTTACAAGCCTTGTTGCAGTTAAGAGTACAGGCTCTGTAGCCCGATCCCTGGGTTCAAATCTTTTTTTGCTACTTATCATATAATTGTGGGCACATTACTTAACTACATCAAAACTTACTCGTGTAGTAACAACAGCTGCTTTATAGGGGTCCATTGAAGATTAGATGAATATTGGTAAAACTCTTAGAACAGTACCTGGCACTTAATGACTCAAAAAGTATTAACTTTTTAAAAAAATTAATGTTTGATTAGATGCAACAGGTAAAGGAGAGTCAAAGATAACTTCTAGTGTTCAGGTTTGAACAACTGGGTGAAAGTGATACTGTATTTTGAAGTAAGAAATGGACAGTGTTGGTGGGTGAGGAATGATGACTTCACTTTCTAGAAAGGTTGCATTGGAGGTAATTGTGGCACATCCATGTAGACATGGAAGCCATGGCATATTCAGTATCTCAGGAAAGATACCTGGATAGAGGTAGGACCTGGGAGTCATCAGCAAGCTTTTCGTATTTGAAGCCATGACTGAGATTGCCCAGGAAGTTCCCGTAAAGTGAGAAGGTGGCTTGGGAGAAACCACTGCCTTGTAGGCAGTGGATAGGGCTCAGGAAGAGACTAGAGCTCTGATCGTCCATATCCAAAGCTAATGCCCTTTCTATTAGACCACAGCAGTCTCTATAAATCTTTTTTACACTCATGTGTCACAAAAATTTGTTCAGCAAGTATTTGATCCCCTACTCTCCATCAAGCACTGGGTAAACCTCAGTGAGCAAGACAGGTGTGGATTCTGTCCTTACTTTTAGTGAAGATGGACTATACAGATAGCTAAGTGCTATGACAGCTACAGAATACCTCTCTGTGCCCAGGAACACCTAACCCAGACATGGGACAGAGTGGGAGAAGACTTTCTGAAAGAAGTGATGGCTAAAATACATTTTGGGCTAGCCAGGTAATAGGAAGTTCCACGAAGGTAAAAGGAACACATTTTTTCCGTCTCCTTGAATTTCCATGGATGGAGATTGAGAGAAGGGGCAGTACATTTGGGCTGTAGTATGTGTGCTTAGCTCGTGAACATACTAGTCTGTGTGAGGTAACCAAGTGTTTGGGTTTTCTTCCAGGTGAGGTAGTCCCAGCCCATTGCTGTATCCTGTCTGCCTGCAGCCCCTTCTTCACAGAGCGCCTGGAACGGGAGAGGCCAGCTCAGGGTTGTAAGGTGGTGCTGGAGCTGGGGGGTCTGAAGATCGGGACACTCCGGAAGCTGGTGGATTTCCTGTATACCTCAGAGATGGAACTATCTCAAGAAGAAGCCCAGGATGTGCTTTCCGCTGCTCGTCAGCTCCATGTATCTGAGCTAGAATCCCTTCAGCTAGAGGGTGGAAAGTTGGTGAAAGCCCCTCAAGGCCGAAGACTGAACCGGGAGTGCTTACAACCTCCAAGTGCTGCACCAATCTCTGCCAGGGTAGTGGCATCTAGCCACCGCCCTCGAACTCCACTGCCTGTTACTCAGACTCCCTGTCCTCTTGGAGCAATGAGACTGAAGTTGTCAGGGAAGGACGAGGGGCACCAGGACAAAAGCAACCGAGAGAATACAGAGAACTTGTCTGGCACTCTTCTGCTCAAGAGGAAAGTCAGAGCCTGCCCAGCTCCACAAGAAAGCTCTTCATCATCAAGCCACAGTCAGGGATCTAAAGAGAACAAGAGTGACGCTTCCCTTGGTCCTACAGAGCTTTCTCCATCCAGCTTGGACCCTTCTGTAGATAAGCAACTACTGCCCAGGAAGATCAGGCTGAGCCGTTCAAAGCCATCACGTGATATCTGTGCATCCAAGTCGTCCAGCGTTTTAAGTGGACCCAGCTCAGTGGCAGCAGCCCCTGGCCGGCGTCTTTGGAGACAGAAGAGCATAAATAAAGCAGCGCCAGAGGACAAGCAGAAACCAGAAACAGCTAGTCCTTTACATAGCACCCCAACCCCATCTGGTCTTGGAAAGATGGGTGGGAATAAGAAGCGGAGCCCTGAAGTCAAGGCACCTAACTCAGACTCTGCAGAGGAGGGACAGGTTGGAAGAGTGAAACTTAGGAAGATTGTCAATGGGACCTGCTGGGAGGTGGTGCAAGAGCCTCCCCTCAAAACCTCTCAAGTGAGCCCTCATGTCCCAGAACCTGGAGACTCAGAAGAGCCTCCAGGGACTCAGCCATCCTTGGTTAACCAGCAGGAAATGTCATCTACTAGCATAGACCTGTGTCAAGACTCCCCAGTGTGCTCTAAGCTACAGAACATTCTGCTCTCTGCTAGCTGCTCCCCAGACCACCCAGTGGCGAAGCCTGAGTTTGAGTCCAGTCCAGAGCTGGTAGGGAAGGAACCGGGGTTCGATACTGACTGCAGAGAGTCATATGCATTTGACACAGCCCTGCTGGGGCAGCCCTGTGAAGCTGAGGAGTACCGAATCACAAGTGTTGCTGCTACCAGTGAGCTGGAGGAGATCCTGGACTTTATGCTATGTGGCTCAGATATTGAGCCACCTACAGGATCTCTGGAGAGTCCCAGGGCTGAGGGCTGTAGGACCCCCAGTTATCACCTGACAGAAACAGGAAAGAATTGGATCGAAGGGGAAGAATGGTATTTACCGGACATGGAACTCTGGCCCAGGGAGCTCTCGGGATTGGAAAAGGAACCTGTTGGTGAGAAGATAGAGCCAGTTGAACCCATTAGCCCCCTTGTCATACCCTCTAAGATTAGTGAAGGGGAGGTGCTCTCTATAGGAGGCTCTTGGACTCAAGATCAAGAAATTACCAGCTCCCAGCCACTGGACAGTCAGAGAGAAAAACTTCTCCACATTGGCTCCCTTGACCCTCCCCAAAGGTCCTATGGGGACCTCTCACCTCCCTGTTCTAATTGGGTGGAGACTGGGCCAGAAGTGTCTCTAACTATGGAAGAGATGCTGTACCCTGCTCCAGAACCAGGCAAGGAGGTACTTAGCAACTCTGAACCACTGGATCCACTTCCTTCCAGCCCTGAAGAGGAAGAGATTGATGTGGTAGACTGGACATCAGAGGGGAGGCTGGTACCAACCAGTATTCCCTGTGTGTGGCCTGACCCTTCCTCAGAGTCAGAAACAGAAGTAGACATACTAACCTAGTAGAGTGGGGAAGGCAGCTTAGGGGCAGTAGGCAGAAGGGAAATGTTGGCTAGCAAAAGCGCTATCAGCAGAGAGGCTAGCAGGTCCTGTCCTCTTGGCACAAGAGGCAGGCATACTCCTAGCTTTGTAGGTGCAGCACCCCTCCCCCCCTAGTTTTTGGGAGTCAGGCAGAACTCAAGTAGTACCATGGGTAGGAAATTAAGAACTTAAACTGTCTTACTTATAATCTACTTCCCAATGACAAACAAGTGGAACAATAAACTGTGTGGTCTCCAACTCTAGTAGTTAACAGCTAAAGCCAGGTTTGCCAAGTTTCCCAGGTTATGAGGCACTCACTGCTAATTCAGAAAAATTAAGTACACCCTCTTCAGTAATTCTTTGTCAAGAGAAAATGTTCCAGGAGGCGTGAAGTGGTGCTGAGGTGGAACATGAAGTTGGTAGGAGACACAGGATATTCATTGTCCAGGACCTTATGACTGGGGCTTATTTATTCCCATTTTGAGAAGTCTAACCAAAATCCCCACTGGGCCAGGAAGAAGTACTTCCATCATCACTTCCAAGAAGTGATTTGAAAAAAGAGATAGCTGCTTTAAAAAATAATAAATTACTTACTTTTCCCCAAATGTTTTTACAAATATTTCATATGCTTTACCTGATACCCTAGGAATTCCAGGTTAATTGGTTACTTTAGGCTACAAAAAAATACAAGGAGGACCAATTCTGTAAGGCTGGCTTTCACCCCTCACCATAAAATGAAGTTTCACTTTATTACTCAAGTACTTTATTTCAACTTTTATTAAACAAACCAAATCCAAGAACTTTTCAGTGCCTTACTAGAAGGTTGCCTCACACCTGAACCATCATTTCTGGAGGGGAAGAAACCATAGCTTCAGGCACATGACTGAGGTTTGGCCATGTCCCATCATAAATGCTCCAACATCACCAGAAACAGAAGGCTGTGAAAATGAGAGAAAAAAACATTACAGAAGGGATCCAGGCAATCATATAGCCCAAGAAGACGTGCTCTCCCACCCTGGGACCCAGTAACTCAAGAGAGCTCAAGGATTGTGTCCTCCTCCCACATCTCCCTGACCACATGCATGAAGCACTAGGAATAAAGACAAGTTCAAATCCAAGTGACTTAAGAGAGACTTCAATAATGCAGTGTTGCCACATGGGTTTATTAACAGAAAGACCCTGAGAGGAACAAAAAACGAGGGTAGGGGTAAGTATACATGAAATTACACAGATTTTGCCAATAAAAGGGGGAAATCCCAACCCATACAAATAAACACGTGTCAGTGATTTTGTTTCATTAGCAAATGAGGGAACTGGTGGGATTTACAATCACTTGAAAGAAAACGTTTGCCATCATAAATGTGGAAAATGGTTTTTTTAACAAAACCGGTCCATACCCCCAAGGGCAATAATTAACGGCATCTTCAAAGGATATAAGTTGCATTTCTGGAAATTATTTACATTACCACCAATTCTAAGGCTTAGCTCAAAGATAATGAAATGGGACGCGGAGTTAGCAAAGGGCACACCAGATAGAAAACACTAAAAAATATTTTGCTGACTAGTTTTTCCTACAGGTAAAAAAGGTTAAGCGGTATCCCCAGTAGAGAAAATAACTGAGAACAGTTAGTTATGAAGAAAATGGAGCTCCTGGGTGAAATACGGAGTAACAATAAGAGTTGCTTTGCAGGTAACACATCAAGATCAACCCAGTCCCTCCCCAGCCTTTCACCATTTCAAACCTCAGCATGAGGACTTATGCCCAAATCGCTCTACGGAAGGTACTTCTTCAGCTTCTCCACTACCTCTTGCGGCTCAGGGAACTTCAGTTTCCGTGGAGGCCCCTTCTTAATTCCAGTCCAGAGCTCCGTACCTGGGGAAAGACCGAGGGAAGCGAAGTTACTATGTCTCCCGGCGGCTAGCCCTTCCTCTCCTCGGACCCCATGCCCTCTCCTCCGAGACCCGGGCCCCCACTCACTGCTGCCGTCTGGGCGCAGCAGCGTCACCTCGAAGCTGCCCCTCCGGGGCTTGGCAGTGTTCACTTTCACTGGAAGCTCCGGGGCCTCGAGACGCAGCGCCTGGCTCAGGGCCGCGGCGTTGCGCCCGTACACGCGTCAACTCGTGCTGTGGAGAGACGCGGGGGGGGGGGGGGGGGGGGCGGGTAAGAGACAAGGGCGCTAGATGTGCGACACCTCCCCGTGCCTCTCCAGGCTCCTCACCAATGCTCGATAACGACGGTTGCCTCCGCCACTTCCTTCTGGCCGCCAGCCAACTTCTCCTGTTTCTCAGCTACCGCGACCACTGCCGCCTCGGCCTTTCGCTTCCTCCCGCGGGAAGCCATGGTGCCTGCAGCCCGGCCTGAAACCGAGCCGACCTGGGGCGGGAAAAGGGTGGGGATGCGGCCCCGGAACGGTGGACGTTCCCGCTCCGAGGTCCAAACCGCAGGCCTAAATCCCCGCTCCCAGCACCAAACCTCTCCGGAGCAGCGCAAAGCGCAGCGCGACCGGACACGTGGCCGGTAGGCGGGACCTCCGGCCACAGCCACTCCGCACGCAGGGTAGGGGGGGATAAATGCGGTGAGCCAGACCTAACCAAGTGGGCAGGGGTCGGGCACAGCTGGGGCGGGGTGTGGGTAGCTCTGAAAACCAACCTGGCCTCAGGTTTTCCTGTAACCGCGAGACCGGCTTTGAGACGGGCTAAATAGCGTTCCTCACGAACCCGACCCCCAGCCCTGAACACCTCCCCGCTGGGACCTGTGGCCCAATCCCGAACAAGTCTACAGTCTAATGTGGTGCGGTCGGCGCTCCGGATTTACCGAAACTGGCTTTCTCCAACTCTCTCTCACCCTGGGAACCAACGACTGGCATTTGATATAACTAATGGGAATGGTCTTTTAATTAGAGGTTAGGCAATTCCTTTGCAGTTGCCTGGCTTTTTAATACCCGAGGAACACAACGAGGAGCAAATCAAAAGGAAATCCCAGTCTCTTTATTATGGAAAACCATCAATTGGGGCGGGAGAGTAGGGGGGAGGGTAAGTGAAACCCCAAGCCCGCACAGGCTTTCTCCTTCAGACCCCACCACACAAAGGAAGGTCTCAAACTTCTATTCCATTTCCTCCCAAACTCCATTAAAATAGATTATTGAATACTATCTTCAGTGAGAAAATCCTGTAGTTAAAGGTTTGTCCAGTGACAAAATTAGGTTTACAATTTTTAATGAAGGCCACAGACCAAGCCAGAAGGGCCTAAACAAGCAAGGGTCCTTGAGGGAAAAATTTTAGTGTAGACTCGGTACCCTGGCATCTTATGTTAGGCTTCAATCTACTGTAAGAAGTCCGTGTCGGTCCACTAAGGAGTACTGACACCAAAGCATGGCGGACACGTGTGGGTGGTGGGCAGCTCTTAACAGTGACCAAGCCTGGAGGGAAAGCATTTTCTCCTCCATTAAATGAGACCTCTCCCCTCCTCCACTGAAGTAGTTGGCCGCAAGAGTGGTCTTCCTGGAGGGTGCCTGTCAATTCCCTGAATGCCTCTTGAAAATCGGAAGCAGCACCCGGCCCCACCCAGCACAGCCAAATGGGGAAAACATAAATAAAAGGCGAGACCTCAGGCAAAGCTGTGGTTACAGAAGGGGCAGGGCTTCAAAGGTGCCTGGGATTGACCAGAGGGGAAGCACTAACAAGGCAGGGAACCTATTTGTCCTTCTTGCTTTCCCCATCTGGCACTGCTGTGGAATTTGGGGCCACAGACTGCTCCTCAGGAATATTATCTCCTGCCTTCCATTGCTTCTTGGCCCGTTGATACAATTCATTCAGGCTGAACTCTCGGATCACGTTCTCCTGTACAAAAGAGATGCACACGTCAGGGTTGGAAGGGAGAGTTCACAGCCTGGGAAGTAAGAAGCATTCTGGCACAGTCTAGGAAAAAAGAAAGCAAAGGACAGACATCTACTCTAACCTAAATCTCTTCTATGGGTATCTGAAAAGTCAACTAATATTGAAGTACCCATTATGTGCCCATCACTCTGCCAAGAATTATGGCTACACTACTGAATGCAATCTGAAAAACAACCCTGTCAGTCAAGTGTTACTGTCTCCCATTTACACTAAGGAACCTGGGGCCTACAGACTAGGGCCTGTGAAACTTAATCTTAACTCATTAATTCCCCAGCAGTAGCAGGTCTGGTACATGGTAGAAGCATACTATAAATTTGCTGAGTGAATTCATAAACGAGGTCCAATAAATAGCTCACACTCTCAAAGCTTGTAGCCAAGTGGCAGAGCTAGGAATCAAACCCAGGTTGGGCTCCAAACCCCATCCAACTGTTTCACACCCTTCTCCAAACTACTTGCCCACTCTTTTCTCTACCTCAGAGAAAGTCCAAGAGACAGCTCGTCCCTTCTTGTCTATTTGTGGCCGCCGCATGACCTCCTTGCCACCTTGGAACAGGATGAGGGTAGGAAGCTGCTTGGTGAGGGGGGATGTGCTCACTTTGTACCTGCAAGGCCCAGAAAGTACTCTGTTGACGCATCTGTATACATCATTCAAAGAGATTCCCTATTTAGAGCACATACCCAGGACCTTACATACCGTGTACTAACATCAGTATAGCGTCCAACGTCTACCTTCCCAAAATTTAGTCCTGTACAGTTGTACCTGAGAAGGACATAATATTTAACATAGTGAAAGGAGAGAGACTGGATCAAGGGAATGGATCAAATACAGCTATTGAAGGGTATGCCTTTGGTTGCAATGTTGAAAAACCAAGGCCAAAAGCAAGGAAGAGAAGGTAAAGTCTCTCAATTTCCACCACCCCTCCCCCCTCTTTGTACTACTCACTTGAGGGAGAGATCAGCATAGATTGGAGCAAATGATTGGCAGTCATTAGACCAATTGGCAAAGAACTCCACAATCCAAGTGACCCTCTTGTCTCGTTCCAGCTCTTCCTGCCACACACAGAGAGGAAACAGGGAGCTGAATCACACAGGCTCCTTAGCATCTAATTCCTCATCAAGGCTTCCCCTCTCAGCCTCCCTGAACTCCCTTGATGAAACACAGTGCATGTGACTTCCATTCTGAAGCAAGATTGCTCCTCCTAGTGAGCTGGGAGCACAACTACAAAATTACCCTCAAGGGACCCAAAACACAAGTGAAAGGATGAGCACTCACATCAATGGTTTTATCGTTGAAGTATTTGATGTACTCAGGACCCATGTACAGGGGAGGTTTGCAGGTCATCAGGAACACTAAACACATAAAAAAAGATGTCAGAGGAAACATTTAAGACCTTGGGCAAGGATTTACTTTCAAACCAACTCAAAGACTTTAAGCATTTAAGAATACACTTTGTGGACACAGGCAGATCACTGACACATTCCCTTCCTCTTAAAGTCTCTGTAAGCTTCTTATCGCCTAAGCCACACACATAATTAATTAGGAACAAATATGAAAGGAGAGAATGGATAAACTGGTTTGGGATTTGGTTCCCACAACCAAGTCCTATAGTCTCCTTACCTATACAGAATGTGATGTAAAGCAGGCCCATGCGAATATCCAGGCGGAAGAAAAGAATTGCATTGGCCACTTTACTAAACATGAAGATGTTGCCTATATGTTGCTCCACAGTAACTGAAACATAAAGATGTCACAGGTCAGATTGGGCTTCATGCTCCTATATCCCATTCTCTGTGCCTCTTCCTGGAGTTCTTTGAAATGGAAGGGGGGCAAGAGGGATAAAAGTCCAAGATCAAATTCAGCATTGGCATGAAATGAGGGACTAGTACAGTAAATAATGCCCCTCTCATATCATGAATGAAAATACCTCTGGGGGCTTTAGACCTACTGCTGGGAGACAGAGAAAAAAACTAAACTTACTGGACCTGCGGTTCTTCATCATCACGATGGCACTGAGAAACATCAGGATCTCTACTTCTCTCTGCAACAGAATCGAAGTGGAGGGATGCCATCAGCAGAGATAAGATGGGTGGGTAAGGGAGCCAAATATAGAACAAAACCAACAGATACCCAAACGGGGAATGGTAACAATAAATAACTAGAGTCGGCTAACGCACAGAAGAAAAAGCCCCAGTCAGGAGACCTAGGTTCAAGTTCTAACCCTACCACAACCTGACTGGTGCCTTTCAGTCAATCAACTGCTGAGCTTTGGTTTCCTTCACTGAGCATCTATTTCAAAATGCTATTGTGAAGATTAAACGATAATGAATATAAAAGAGTTGTAAAAGTATGATGTGGTATAAAACTGTGAGATATTACAACCAAATAAGTGTGACCCTAGGAAAATAGAACTCTTGCAGGGAGACTTTCTCAGTAATATTCCATTCATACAATACATGGTTATTTCATTTGTTTGGTTTTGTTTACGTTAAATCATTCCTCTTCCCCCAATACACATAGTGATAATCCATGTGCTTCTAACATAACCTGAGAGCTAAAGGAGGCATTCCACAGCTCTCATAGGCCCTTGTCAGCATCTTTGGCTTACAGTTCTTTCCCAAATTCTGGAATGTAAGCTCCATGTTAGCAAAGTGAGACAGACAATAAACATGACAAACAAGCAAAATAATTTGAAAGAACAGAAACTGCAAGGAAGAATAACAAGGTCCATGTGAGAGAAAACATGGGAGAAGGACAACTATAGATTGGATCGTCTAAGGCCTTCCATACCTTTTGGTTTATAATACAGAGGCCAAATCATCATGTCAGACAGAACCACTCAACTGTGATTAACAGCTAGCAGTCAGACACCTAGGTTTTTAGCCTCAATGTCCAACAAAAAGTAACTTACTGGATTTAGAAATGGCCATGTAAAGTGGGCGTTAGGGAAAGTGACAGACCTCAATAAACTCAATAAACCCATCATTAAACCTGAAAATGTATTTAACACCACACCACGGAGTATCAGTTGTTCACCCTCTTCACAGCATGGCTGACAAGGAGCTGTGGCTCACTGCCACTGTGCAGCATCACGAGAGACTGTCATAACTCATATTGTTAGCCTAGGAAAAGATCAAAATTCAAAATTCGAAGTAGGATTTCTACTGAACGTGTATTGCTTTCACACCACCCTGAAGTTGAAAAATCCTAAGCCGAACCATCATAAGTCAGGGACAATTTGAAGTTAAAAATATTTTTTTATCAGAGTAAAAATAAAGTATAAAACCTTCCAGTATTTTTGCATATTATTAGAAAACAGTACATGGAGAAATTATATAAAATTTCCCTGCACTTACTAAGCATGGTTACACTTGAGCTAATTAATAATACTGTCTGGGAATGGGCAGAGGAAATATGAAAGAGTAAGCAAGGACTGGAGAGGACTGGAGACTAAAAGCAAGGGAGTGGACTCTGGTAAAGGTCAGGACTCATTCTGAGGACTGGAAAAAAGACCAAAACTCAGGATGGCCCTCCTTCCTCAGAACACAGGTGCTGCTATACAGCTAAGAGCACAGACCTTCAACTCATTTGTCTGAATGGTCCTTCCACTCCTACTGAGGAAGCAGAGCAAGAGGCTTGCAACAGATTTCTTTCTTTCTTTTTTTTTAAGATTTTATTTATTTTCAGAGAAAGGGGAAGGGAGGGGAAAAGAGAGGGAGAGAAACATCAGTTGGTTGCCTCTCACACGCCCCCAACCAGGAACCTGGCCCACCACCCACAGGAGCCCTGAGTGGGAATCAAACCCATGACCTTTCGGTTCACAGGCCAGCGCTCAATCCACTGAGCCACACCAGCCAGGGGCAACAGATTTCTTTATGATGTATTTTTTACAATTCCTTTTCAATAGGCATAAGGATTTTATTTATTTTTACATTCACAGGATGGAGCATAGTTCCTAACATACAGTGCACACTATGGAAATGTTAACTGAATTAAGAATTGGGTAAGAGTGTGTAGTTACTATGGCCAAGAGCGTGGTTTCAAATCCCAGTTGTGTGACCTGGGACAAGTATCCCAATCACGCCGAGATCAATTTCTTCACCAATAAAACGGGAATACTACTACTTGTCTCGTTTATCTCACTGGCGTCCTTGAGAGGCTTCACATTTGAGTAGCACTGTTAAACGCTGTACACACATGCGTCGAGTCTGGGTAGGGTCCCATCTTAATTAAACACGAAGCTGTTTAGAATCGATGACGGTCCAAGCCCTATACTCCAGTGGTAAGTCTGCTACAGGCTCAGAGCCTCTGGTGCTCTCAAAAAGGCGAACCTCGGGTCACCCGGATGCAACCACGGGGGAAAGGACGGTCAAGGTCGCGGGGTCCTAAGGCGGGGGTCGCTTACCCAGTCAAAGTCACATGGGTTGCCGTCTTCGCGTTGTGTGGGGAGAGTGTAACAGAGCGGGGGAAGCTTCCTCACGAGTAGGAAGGCAGCAGAGAGCAAAGCTGACAGAAGGTAGTAAGGTCGGGCCAGCCATCGTGAAAGGCGCGGCACCGAATACACTAGAGCAATCAAAGGTGCCAGGACCGCCATCTTCTTGGCCCGGGGGCGGTGCTGGCCGCTCTCTGTCGTTGGTAGGTCTCGCCCCGCCTCTCTCACCATCAAGACTTCCATTGGGCCGAGCCTCGGATGCACCGCCTCCAAACCCGGAAGTATATCCCTGATTGGACGCTACGTAGAGAGAAACTGGAAAAGGGTTCTAATACTTTATTGGTCCGCCTAGCTGTCACTTTTTTCACCTAAGTCATTTTATTGGATATGCGACTGTGCCTAGAGGAGACAACAGGGAATTTAATAAGGTTAAATAGTACTTCCTGAACGTACTCTTTAAAGCGACGGAAGTAGTTGCGGGAACAAGGTAAGCACTCCTGAGGCACCCAATGATAAGCGATTCATGGAGGAAGAGGGCGGCACACCCGGGAAAGGATGGTCCAATGAAAATCGTTAGCGCCAGACATCGGGACAGCTCCGGGGCAGAAGGAAAGATGGAGAATTTCACCGCGCTGTTCGGAGCTCAGGCCGACCCACCACCGCCCCCAACAGCACTTGGCTTTGGACCAGGAAAACCTCCACCCCCACCTCCCCCTCCTCCAGGCGGGGGACCCGGCACGGCTCCGGCCCCCACTACAGCCACGGCCCCTTCTGGTGCAGACAAGTCAGCAGCTGGTTGTGGTCCCTTCTACCTAATGCGGGAGCTACCAGGTGAGTACTAGGCCTGGCCCAAACTAGCCAATCGGTTCGTAACGAGGGGGTGATGGGCGTGGTTTAGGCTGGCGGAGGTGTGAGGTAACCCAGGCAACCCGTGTCAGGACCTTGGATGGAGCTCGAAGTCGAAAGGCCACTATGTAACAAGTTTGAGCAGGTGGAAATCAAGAGTCATTTTGGACATGTTACGGCTCCACAATGCCCTCAGTTCATCCCAAGCCCAACTGCTGTATCAAGAGTTGAGGGAAATAATAATGAATATTGGTACAGTATTTTGAAATTCACAAGTCAGTTATATATATATATATATATGTAATAGAATTTAATACAGACTCTTGAGGTAGGCATTGTTATCTGCATTTTATAGTTGAAAAAAATGAAGCATAGAGAGGTTGACTTTCCTTTAGTTAGTGGTTGATGAGCCTTAACTATTTTGATTGTACCTATGTATATTAATCAGTTGACGGATATTTAATATTTGTTCTGAGCAAATGCTGAGTGTGTAGGAAGAAGTGGGGAGGACATATGGTGAGTAAGAGTAATAAGTCTGGCCCTTACTTTTAAGGAGCTTATTTCACTTAGGGATGCAAATTATGTGGTGTAAACATAGTGGCAGTATTTCTTGTCAAGGCTAATCTCATTACTTTGTGGTTATGCCTTACATACAACAATTAAGACAATGAAAACATGATGGTTTTCAAAATGTTATCCAGAATGACAGCAAGAGTAAGCTGGCACTTGAGCTGGACCTTGATGAATTTATATTGGTCAAGAATATTAGAAAGAATATTCCTATAATTAGGTCAGTTTCCCTAAAAGGAAACACTATGAGGGGTATTTTTTTCAGGAGATGATGGAGACCCTTTTGGGTGAATTAGAAATTTTGCATAAGGGACTAGTGGTTGAGCAGGTTCCACAGCTAAGTTACAATAAAATCTGTGCCAGTCAAAAAAATTTGAACTTTTTTCTGAGGGTAATAGGAAACCATTGAGATTTTTTTTAATATTTATTTTTCAAGAGAGGGTGAGAAAGGGAGGGAAACATTTATGTGCAATTGGTTGCCTCTCACATGCCCCCAGCTGGGGACCTGTCCCACAACCCAGGCATGTGCCTTGACTAGGAATCAAACCAGTGCTGGCACTCAAGCCACTGAGCCACACCAGCCAGGGCCTACTGAGATTTTTGAATTGAGGAGTCCTGCTTCTAAAAATATCTAAAGAATGGGAAGTAACATGTATTGAACTAGAGAAACCATGAGTGAGGTGGGGAAGTTTTGGAGTTTATAAAAACATAGTATCTGGCCCTGGCTGGGTGAGGCATTTGGTTAGAGCATCATCTCTATATGCTGAGGTTGCCAGTTCTATCACCAGTGAAGGCTCATACAAGAATCAACCAATGAATTCATAAATAAGTGGAACAACAAATCAATGTCTGTCTGTTTCTCTCACTCTAAAAATCAATCAAGAAAGAAAAAAAAACCAATACATGCATGGAATGGAGTAGAAGGAAGTTGGAAATGCAGGATTAGTTTTCAAGAGAGGAGTCTGGTCTGGGGAGAGTAATCATCTTCATAGAACTGATAGTCAGAAAGTTGGACTGACTCTTAAGTTAGAGTTCAGAAAAAGTAGACTGTCTTCTCATCTGAGCCTTGAGCATAACCTCCTGGAAGGAGGAGGGCCAACAGAGAGGAGGGATAAAATCAGGATACTGTAATGGCAGGAGGCAGTGCCAAGTTACGAGGAGAGGCACTGTGTACTGTGACTCCTGCCGTTAACAGCAGACCACTCTTCTGAGGTGTTTGACATGAAAAAACAAGGAAAAGAATAGGGTAAGGCCTAGCGGTGTGGAGCAAAAAACACCTTGTTCATTTAGTAGTTATTGAGCGTAGAGTGTGTGTAGTTTTGGGCACTAGCAATACAGGAATGAACAAGACATTGTCTCTACCCTTATCGGGCTCATAGTTCAGAACCTGTTTTCCCCAATGAATGATTATAAACTAGCCACTTACATCACTTGTACCCTTTGTGTTCATCATAACTCTCAGTGAAGTCGTAGGCTAGATACTTCTCTCCTTGCCACTGGATCCGTATTAAATTACTAATGAGTGTATATTTTTTGGAAAAATAATATAAACTTATTAGCCATCCAATATTGACACTGATAATGCCTTACATTTCTATAGTACACTATACTTTGCAGTATGTTTGCATTTGTATCTTGAAAAAAATTCAGTGTACTTACGTTATTACCACATTCCATGCACAAGAAAAAGCTGAGACATAGAAGACAGCTAGGTTGAGAATTTTAGTTGCTCAACTTCTAATCAAACATTTCTTTGTATAAAGCATTATACTCAGTATTATGAGGAGGAATAAAGATGATGATAACAGATGCTAGCTGGCAGCAGCTAGAAAAAGCTCCTGGCTGTTATTCCATGTAAAAGGTGATCAGTATTTCTTACTCGGGAAAAAAATCCAAGGGAAGCCATTGGGTCCTATTTGGCCCTTAGCTTGGTGTTGTAGCTGAGCTGTGTGGTGATATCCTGATCATGTCAGGGAGTATAATTTCTCACTAGCCCACTTTATGAAAGGCACTCAGAGCAGTGCTTACACGGAGTAAGTATCATGGAAGTTGTTATTCTGGTTAGTCCAGGAAAAAGAGTGTCTCCTTTCTTGGGTTAAAGCAGTTTCCCCTTCTGCCCTATTTGGATTTTTTTCCTATTTTTTTTTCTATTCCCACTTTATAAAAAATATAAAATATTATATTTTTAGTGTTTTATTATGTTTACTTTTGTTGTTCTTTAAAATATATATTTTTTTTTAGTTCTCACTTAAAAGATTATTTAGGCTAAAATATAGTTCTTCACTTCCTTCTGGGTCAGTGACTTAAAATTCTCTCCCGTTTCTTCTTATCCATAGAATGTGGCAACAACTATCTTAAGTGCACTGAATTTTTTTTCAAGGTTTAAATGAGAACATACTGAAAAGTATAAAGTATTGTATGAATGTAAGGCATTATCAGTGTAAATATTCGATGGCTGACTTTTTAAAATACTTTCTTTTTCTTCCCGTGTCCTCTAGGCAGCACTGAGCTGACAGGCAGTACCAACCTGATCACACACTATAACCTGGAACATGCCTATAATAAATTCTGTGGGAAGAAGGTGAAGGAGAAGCTGAGTAACTTCCTGCCTGACCTGCCAGGAATGATTGATCTGCCAGGTTCCCACGATAACAGCAGCCTCCGCTCCCTCATTGAGAAGCCCCCTATTCTTAGCAGCTCTTTCAATCCTATCACAGGGACCATGCTGGCTGGCTTTCGCCTGCACACTGGCCCGGTGAGTCCCTCTTGGGGAAGAAGGAGGCAAACGGGGAGGCCTGAAAGGCATGAGGTAGTTTTTCTCTCCAAGTCTGCTCCTTCCCAACTTACTGAGCAGGACAGACAGTGGGAACAAGGGGCTCCCTCCTTCCACTCACCTGGACCTTTCTTTGATTCGTTCAGTTGCCAGAGCAGTGTCGTCTGATGCATATTCAGCCTCCCAAGAAAAAGAACAAGCACAAACACAAACAGAGCCGAACCCAGGATCCTGTCCCCCCAGGTAAGAAGCACTTCTGCTCAAAGCCAGAAAACCTGATCATCTGCATCTAGTTCGACCTTTCTCAGTTAAAAAAAAAAAGAGAGAGAAAGAAAGAAACCAATTAGGTTCCTTACAGAGCCCTGGACTCCCAAATTCTCCTGAAAGAAGAAACTGATGTACTGGGGTCTTCTGGGCAAGTAGTATAGGACCTTGGGACAGGGACCTTGGCAGTGCCTCTGTATTCTCTCTGGCCACTTGAACAAAAGCAGTTGCCCTTGACAGGAGGGTTTTCCTATACTCTGCAGAGTTCTAGGAGGGAATTTTGAGCTCTACAGTAGATAAGGCACCTAATGTCTCCTACAGAAACACCATCTGATTCCGATCACAAGAAAAAGAAAAAGAAAAAAGAAGAGGATCCTGAACGGAAAAGGAAGAAGAAAGAGAAGAAGAAAAAGAAGGTAGGGGCCTGTGGCTGCAGCACAGTGAGTTCCCCCTGTCCTAGGTAGGTAGCATCGTTGGCCACAGTTTGGACGCCAGTTTGAAAACCCAGCAGTTTGCATTGTTTTCCTCTACCACCCTGATCAAAGCCAAGGCTATTTCCTAGTTGTTTTCTTATCCCTCCTTTGTCTTCCCCAGAACCGACACAGTCCAGACCACCCGGGTATGGGCAGTTCTCAGGCCAGCAGCAGCAGCAGCCTCCGCTAACAGGACCACTGGACTGCCAGAATGACTTTTCCTGCTGTACTGAACCTGCTGTCAAAAGCTGCCTTCCTGGCTCTTGGACTCTGCCTTAGGAGCGTCCCCTGTGCTGGAACAGAGGCCAGTGCTACTGTGCTCAGTTAAGAGTAATGCATTATGAGGGAGAAGGGCCATACTTTTGTAAGGCTTGGCCCAGCTTTCTCACGGACATAACTTCCTGTCCCAGGAAGCTTTCTTATATCTCTTTTGTGCAGTGTGTCTGATTGAAGACCTTACCTGATGTTAGGATTTGTCTTTCTTTTTAAAAAAAAAATTGCATTTCTCAAACTGGCTGAAGTATGACTGCCTATTAAGAGGTAAGTGCCTTTCTGTGAGAGTCAGGGTTTAAGCCAAGGCATGTTAAGATATGGGGGGGATTTGAGTCTTGTATTACATTATCTCGTCAACAGGCAGAGAACCAACCAAAATAAGATTGGGGAACATGGTCCAAAAGTTAAGGAGAGCTTGTTAATACCTTTCCACAGCAGACACATAACTCATTGTCCATAAATGTTGAGAACGAAACACCTGGATGATCTTCAGACTCCACCTCAAGAGCTGATCCAGTTAGGGGTCAGCTGTATTCTAGGTCACTTTTATTTTGAAAAAGAATAGCCAACTAAAAAACCCACAATCAATACTATACTTCAACTGGTAGATTCTTGGTCAAGCCCATGATTTTTTCTTGGGAGTATCTGGCAAGCAAAGGTAAATGTTTCTTATCTTTTTTAAGAACTTCTGACCTGCCTCATTCCTTACCTAAGACAAAGTATTTGGCATGTGAAAACATTTCTAAGCTTCTAAAACAGCAACAAACAGGCAGCCTAACCTAACAATGTAAAATTAAGTCCCTTCAGTCTTTGCAGCAGGCCAGGTAGCTGCGGAAATCTGAGAAAACCCAGCCTAATGTAAGTTGACTTGAAACTAAATTTGACAGATTAAAAGCTGTTGCTGTGAGCCATGGTTTTTCCTAGATCAGTAGGCAGAAAACCACGCCTTTAGTTCGTTTTAATCTCAAATTTCAGAGGAAGAGTTTATACTTAAGTGTTCTGGCCAGTTTTTTAGATTTAGTATCTAAGGATGCCTATTTAAATTAGGGCACAGCCTTTTGCTTTCCCAACCAAAATAGAGGTATCAAACTGAACTGCCACCTATGTGTACAGAAGACCTTTAACAGAGCTTTCTTATTTTGATCATCCACTGTCTCCCTGTTGACTATATCCAAATGAACTTACTTCCCAAGGACAATTCTGTATTAGGGAATAAGTGTGGCACATATCAAGAGTTCTCTAAGCTTCCAAATGACAAGTGTTAGTGGCTGTACTTTTTTTTTTCTGGAATTTTTGGATTAAATCACAGAGGGGGGGGCAGGAGACAGTACCTGTTGTTTAAAGTGGTTATTTTCACTATTTTCCTGCCTAAAGATGGGTCAGAAGCAGAGAACCTTATTAGGTTTTCTTCTTAATTCCCCACCAGAGATCATTCGCCCTGCCTTAACCAGACAAAATAACACAAGTCAGGGGGAGCTGGTTAGATCAGGATTCGTTTTTATTCCTTGTTGGTTTAAAATGGCTAATCAGAATAAAAAATAAAAGGGCCTCTATTTAGAGGCTGGGGTCTCCTCTATTCAGAGGTTAGAACCCAGGCATCCCCTCTACCCAGCACCATACTGAGGTGGGCTGAGGGGTAACCCCCAAGGGACAACCGGAGGGGCCTAGGCCTGCCACTCCTTTTCTCTATCCCCAGTTTTTGGCATGTGATGAAAAATATTGCTTTTTGGATTCTTCTCTCCTGGCCTTGGATTTAAAAATGTTAACTGTGTGAGACAGGGGAAGGGTTTGAGGGGCTAGTTGAAAAAGCCCACCCTAAACCCTCTACCCCAGGAAAAGGGGACTATCCAATTGTTTCTGGAGCTTGGCCGGGCTCTTCCTGATCTTCCCACCACCAAAAAATCATGGGGCTCTGACCCCTTTCCTGGGGAATCTAAGTGCCAATGAGCCTACAAGACTAACCCTCCTCTCCCTCCTCTGACCAAGACCTCAGACTCGCCTCTCCCCATTTTCTTTCCTGATCACCTAGCACCAACAACAGGGGTGCTATTTTCTTAATTGTAATGGACAAAAGAGGGAACCCTGGGGTAAAGGAAGACTTCTAGCCACGTCTCCTCTCTTTTCCTGCTGGTCTGAGGAATGGGAAGAGTAAGATCCCCCTCCTTAAACATATCCCTCCCTCATTTTCCCATCCCAGGATAGATATATAATTTCTTTGTTATTTATAATATATATATATGTACACATACACCTGGTAACGCAGAAGAGGAAAAAAATAGAATCCGTAACAATAATAAAAAAAATTATTTCTGGTTTAAAAATGATCTGGTTCCCTCCAGGGCGAGCAATTGCACAAACGTCCACTGAGTCTGGTCCAGGGATTAAGGAAGGGAAGGTCTTAGAAGGTAAAGGGGGTTGCTACCCCAGTCTTAGGGCCCCAACTCTCCAACTCCCCAACCCCGTTGCATTTTTATAAAACGCTCCTCATCCTCTTGGAATCAGTGGTTTAAAAAACGTCCATGCAGGGGAGGGGAGCCCCTTGAGGAAAGGAAGGTGGCCACCTGGGGGGGCCCTTTGGTGTAGGCGCAGAGGTGTGGGGGAGGGGAGGTGCCGAAGGCTCACACCGAAATCTCATAGGTGGTGCCACCTACTCCTGACACCTTCTTGACTCCTCCCCTTGTGGGACTACTGAGAGGTGGCTGTCCGGGGCCAGGGGAGGCTGAGCCTATACTCTTGGGCTGCCCGTTGGATTTGCTGTAGGCGGTCTTGAGCTGTACTTCATCTCTGGGAAGAAAGGAAGAGAGAGGTGTCAGGAAGTGGAACACAAAACACAGAAAAGGGAGCTAGTTTTAAAAAAAGAGTACTTTTCTACATACATACCGTGTGTGTGTGTGTGTGTGTGTGTGTGCGCGCGCGCGTGCGCGCATGCTTGGAGAATTTTTTTAATCAAATGGTTGGCACTTAGTAGGTATACACTTTCTTACACAAACATTTCCTTTGTCTTACTGCCCTGCTTAAAACAAGCCTGATTTCCTAGCTCCTATTTACTCCTCTCCAACAGCAGCTATCTTGTATATTTACTCTCAAATTACTTTTTAAGAAGACAGGATTAAGAAAAAATTATTAAACTTCAGTGTCTTAACAGGAATGAAGGAGCATGAAGGCAGCTGGAGTAAGAATGAAAATGAAGGGCTATCCACACAGGCAGGAGAGCTGGGTCCATCTTGCACTACAGTGTACGAGGGTAGCCCTAATACCTTCTGCAGGGCAGGATGCTAATTTTAAGGCAGCTGAGGGCCAGGATGGACTAATACTTACTTTGGTGTCAGTAACGGCTGCAAGGCCACTTCCTCCGTCTCAGAGACGCCAGGTGGGGCTTTTTGGCTGCTGTAAGACATAGATCGGCCCAGGTATGGGGCAGTTGGACCTGGTTCAGGGGACCCTAGTCCCCGGCCTCTGAGCCCATCTGGCTTGCCAAAACGGGGGGCAGCAGGGCGTCCCAGTGGAGTCTTGCCCAAAGGTGATCGCTTCGAATCGTCTGAGGAGGAACTAGTACGAGGGGCATGGCCTGAGCCTGGTGTCGATTGAATGCCTGAGTCCCCCAAGCCTGGTTCTTCCTCGCGGCCTGGGAGCGGGGGTGACTGGCGTAGCAGCTTCTCTCGTTCCTGGAGGGAGGCCACAATATGGCGCGACAGATTGTCGTACCGGACTGGTGAGGGCTCTCGATGTGCTGGGCCGGTTGGCACCAAATGTGGGTGCCTCTCGGCTTCCCGTTGCTGGGCCAGCCGGGCTGACAGGAAGGGAGAGGTGTAGCCTAAAGGCGGGTCTGGCTCAGGCCCTGCTTGCACTGACTCGAAATCAGGGCTGTCTGAAGGAGTGAGCAGGCTGTCATAAGATAGGCTTCCATTGCGTGTCTGGTTGGCCAGGCTCTTATAGGAGGTGGAGGTTGTGCCCTCTGAACGAATGGACTGCAGCTGGCCCAGCTCAAAGCCTGTGCCCTGGGCCGACTTGAGGCTGGACGAGCGTGACCCACTGGACAGTGGATCGAAGTGAAAGCTTTTGCCGAAAGTAGGAGAACGAAAGCTCTCTGGTTCCAAGCTGGGCTCTGAGCGGTAGCTGGGATGGCGGCTGCTCTCTGCAATTGAGGTTGGCTCCTTCAAGCTATCACCACGACTCAACTGGGGGAGAAAGTAAAGCAGGCTCTTAGTGCTGCTTCTCAGGCAACAGGCACTAGGCCCTAGAGCCCAAGGAGACCAGCAAAGACAGAACCTGTTATATGCCAGCAATATTTAGACTATTTTATATGCGTTATCTTGTCTGACCCCTAAAGCTAATCTATGAGTTGGAACAAATACCTCATTTTAAGATGCAAAAAGTAAGACAGGTTAAGTAATTTGCCTGTTAATGGTTTTGAACTCAGGTATGACACTTAATCGGTGTTTTATCTATTATGCTACGTTGCCTCCTTTAATGAAGTAACACTACAAGGAGATTCAATCCCATTAACACCAACAATTAGCAAAATGCCTTTGATTTTTTTTTTCTTCCCTCTGCTCCTCCCTTCCCTTCTCCCAGCTGTCTTTTTCCCAGAACAGTTGGCAAACATTATAACCCTACTTCTTAGAGAGAACTCGGTACCTTGGCGCTGGAAGAATGAGGCATGGCGGCTGATGTGCTGCTGCTACTGTAGCCTGGCCGATACTTGTACATCGTAGGTGTGGGGGGGCTGTCCTTGCCCAAGAGGCTGCTATCTGCAGGAAAAAAGGCCCAGGGGGCACCACTTTACAAGCTGCTCTCTTAACCTGACTAGAGTTCCTTCAAGTACAGGGAAGAACAAGGTAGGAATAGATATACCTAGCCAAGGGAAAGTCCCGGGAACATGATTTTGCTGAAATCAAGGCTCAAGTCTCCCATCAGTTCAGAACTCAGAGTGACAGAATGCACCAAACAGGTCTAGGAAGCTGTCTGTCTAGAGCTGACAGTTACTCCACAAATGTCCAATTCACTGGCAATAGCTAAGTGGCATCACCTTTCTCCCAGCTGTCCAAAGTAGTGGTTCAATTCTGGGCCACGTAGCTCAGTTAAAACATTGTCCTGATACACCAAAGTTGTGAGTTCAATCCCGTCAGGGCACATACAAGGAGCGACCAATGGCCCTCACTGGTGTGGCTCAGTGGACTGACCACTGGCATATGAACCGAAAGGTCACCAGTTGGATGCCTCGTCAGGGCACACGACTGGGTTGCAGGCCACGTTCCCCGGTGGGGGCATGCGAGAGGCAACCAATCAATGTTTCTCTCACACATCGATGTTTCCTCCTTTCTCCCTCCCTTCCCCTCTCTGAAAGTAAATAAATAAATCTTTTAAAAGAAGCAACTAATGTATGCACAGATGGGTGTAACAACAAATCGATCAATCTCTCCCCCCCTTAAAAAAAAAAAAAAAAAACTGGTTCAAGTGCCATCTGTTGGGTGTTCTCAGCCACACACAAGCATTATCTATCTCCGAGCCCTTGCCGGTTTGTCTTCTCCACAGTTCAGTCACCTTTTCACTCCTGCCGCTCCCCTTACCCTCATTAGTAGCCAGGCTGAGGTGTGTTCGTAGCCCCGTGTAACGGCTCAGGTCCGGCTTAGGAGGAGGTGGAGGTTCAGCATCTGCGGACTGGCTCTCTGTAATCTCCAGGCTTCCCTTAGACTGGATAAAGGAGGGAAAAGCAGATTTGGAGAACTGAGTGTTAGGCAACTCAGTATTACACTGGTAATAGAGGGGTGTTGGAGAGTCAATTATCTCATATTTCCATCTAAACTGGAGCTGGAAGACAAGTGACAAGAATCAGTTTGGGAATGGTACTGAATAAAGAAAAGTTCTCGCTCTGGCTGGTGTGGCTCAATGGACTGAGTGCCGGCTGCGAAGCAAGGGGTCACTGGTTCAATTCCCAGTCAGGGCACGTGCCTGGGTTGCAGGCCAGGTCCCCAGTAGGGGGCACATGAAAGGCAACCATACATTGATGTTTCCTTCTTTCTCCCCCCCTTTCCCTCTCTCCCTTTAAAGAAGAAAAAAAAGTTTTCAACAGGGGTTTAACCCTGTCACTTATTTGCTCACTTTCACCACTACTTCTTGAGCTCCAACCACCTGCAAACTGCTACGTTAAGTCCAATGAAGACATGGAAATGAATGGACTCAATTTCTAATGTCAGTAAACTTACAATCTAATGGAAAAAAGAAGATATATATTTAAGTCATTTTAACACAAATCAGAAAGTGGTAAATACTATGAGAGAAACTAAAAGCATGTTTCTAATTCTTTGCCATGAGTGAGAGTCTCCATTTTGTACCCCTAACTCCTCACCTTACTTCTCCTCAGCTCTCCCTGGATGCCATTGTCCATGATCTTCACAGTTATCTGCCCATCTGACACTTCTGGTCGAAGGAAGGGAGGTCTGATTACAATGGTCTTCTCTTTCTTTGGTCTCCCCAAATACCTGAGTGTTAAAAGTGAAAGGGCTTTCATTCATTCATTCCAACATATCTACTGGTTGCCTACCTTGTGTAAAGCATTTTTTACACAAGGAACAGTCTTACCAAGCCAGTGAAAAGAACAGCACTGAACTGATTTCTCTGATTCTGTGAAGAACTGCAGCAAGATTAGGCCTCAGATACCTTGCTCAAGGCACACTGGAGTAAATCCCACCCTCGACTCTCCAAGGAGAGTAACCGTAATACCCGATAGACGAACTCACAGGCTCTACTAAAGATTGGCATGTCTTTCCCATGCAGGCATTTACCTTTCAAAGAGAACCCTTCCTAAAGGCAGCCTCCCACCAGACCTCCCCGATACCAGAAGGAGCCCAGAGACGACAGAAGTTTTGATGAAGGGTAAACAGCGGACGAAAGGGATAAGATGTACCTGGGCGCTGGGGAACTGCAGAGTACACGGCTGACATTGTTACAGCAGCCATTGGTAAAGGGGTTCACACCTCCCCGGAATTTACCCGTAACCTAGAGGGAGGAAAAATAGGCCAGATCAGTCAGATGATGGGACCCCGACTTCAAATGACCAAAACACAAACCAATAACAAATTACCGTGTACATACTATCTAGGAGATACAAAAAATAAAAAGGTAAAACACAATCCTGCCATCAAGCAGCTTATACCTGTGATGGCTAAGAATGGCAACTTTAGAGTCTGTGTCTCTCAGTTCAAACCCTATGTCTTCCTGACCGTAAACATAAATAGGTCTCTGAATACTGAAAACTAAGATAATATGCAAAAGAGCAAGCAAGCAAGCAAGGTTAGCTATTATTAAAAGCACAAAAACAAGTGTCTTTAAGCAGCACTAAAAGCTCCCTGGGGGTGGGCCTAGGTACTTTATCAAGTTTCTCTAAGCTCAGAGCCCAAGTTCTCCAGTATAAGCAAGCATTCTGTAAATGTTTGTTTACTAAGAGAGAGCCTCTGCTCTCATGCTAAACATGAGGAACTCATCTACCTCCTCATAAAAAATGCTCTTTGGGTATCCGCTTGTGGAAGCACAGGCTACACACCAATCAGAGGGCTAAGAGACACATGGCCCTGCTCTGCAGGGGTCTCCCGTCACTTCTTCCCATACCTGTTCATTGGTTGTGCGTCCCCTAGCCACCAGCACCACGTGAAATCCCGTGAGGCCGGCTACAGGGATGAAGAATAAGCCAGCCACACACATCACTGCCATTCTGAAGCCAAAGAGTCAAGGAGAACAGAGCAACGTGATCTCACCTTCCCCAGCCCATACCATTTTCCCTTGAGCCTCATTACCACAGGATTCTACCATCCTCATTCTTCCCCCTCCCAATTCCACAACCCACAAGCCTTGAAGGATACGTGACAGCCGTGCGGACCCCTGAGAGTTCTTCCATGTGGTAGAGGACATAAAGGAGGCCAAAGCCAAACACACCCATAATGTGCGCTGTCAAGGAAAGGAGGAAGAGGAAGAAATAACGGTAGTTCCGGCGACCAATACAGTTGTTCACCCAGGGGCAGTGATGATCAAATTCCTAAGGGCAAAAAGAGAGACTGAGAGGTATCCTTGGACCACAGAACTCGATCACTTTTCGGTCAAGACGACAAACAAATGGAAGAACTTAAGTATTGTTTTTAGTAAATCTGTGATTGCATTTATCATTTAGCTGCAAAATTCAAAACAAGCTCATGCAGTTTATCTTGCCCTATCAGTCAGTAAGGAAGACCTTCCAGAGGTAGAAGATAAAAGGCCAAGGTTGCCTCTCAAAGTTTATCCCATGTGATCAAGGAACTCTTGAAAGGGAAGAATGTCAGAAACTTTGCAAAAACATCAAGATTCATAAGAAAAGAGGCTTTGGAAGGAATATCTGGCAAGCAAATGCTTACGTAGCTAAGTAAAAATTGACTGGAAATAAAAGAGTCAAAAATAAAGCAAGGGATGCAGGAGGACAGGCAGGAAGAGAAATACAACTAAAATCTGAATGCAACAGCATGATGTTGTAGGTGCAAGAAATCACACACAGCCGGACAAATAACCAGAAAGATGAACCAAGGGAAGGAAGGCTAGAGTTACGAATCTTGGTGTTGGGAAAGCCTACGGCCACTTGGGGCTCCTCCTATAACAGAATGTATGCTCTACCACTTGCGTGTGTGTCTCTGCTAACACCCTTGGACAGATCTAGAACACATAGCGCAGGTAGTTACCCAGAACTGTATGTCATGCACAGCATTCAATTCTTACTCTGAGTAGCAAGATAACTGAGGTTAAGCATCAAGCCTTACTCCACACAGGGTTCTTACCTCCACACAATTGTCACAGACACTGCAGTGGGAACATCGAGGAGGACGGTAGAAGCGGCAGGTGGCACACCATTTCATGCGCACCTGGATGCCCTTGATTTCCACTGTTTTGTAAAGGGGAGCTCGGAAGTCATCTTCCTTATCTTCATCCTCCTCAGCTGTAGGGAAGAAAGTCAATTAAAAAACAACTGTGCCAGAACTGTACTAAGGACTAGGGATACAGTGATATGTAAAATATGGCCTCTGCCTTCAAGGAATACAGACTAGTGGGGGAGAGACTAAGAACTAGTAACTCTAATACTGTGAAATCAACTCTATATACAACACCATGGGAACACAGATGAGGCAGCAATTTATTCTTCACTGGGAAAGGAGGTTTAAGAGTATGACTCAGAGGTGGCTGTGATATGGGTATACTGATCGTCTTTGTTTAGGTATTTTGAATATATTTTTAAAGAAATAATTTACATATCAAACCACACATATATATAATGAGAATGCATAATAGTTCAATATCTACAAGAGCAAGATTGAACTATAACAATCCAAGAGAGGATCTAACATCAACCTTTTTCCCTATGCACAAAGCCCTTGCCCAAAAGATATGCCCCTACTCTATTAATAATTTCCTATACATATATATTTGGTATTGTTTCTTGGTTCAAGACATTCTCTTTACCCAAACGCCCTTTCAATTTTCAACTACTAAAAACACACCATCTCATTTCAAAACTTATAGGACATTATCTGGCTTCTCAGATACAGTGTATTTTTTTCATTATTAATCTAGAAAAAAATACATGTGTGAAAGAGAAATTAAGTGACAGTATAAGGGTTAAAAATTAAATTTTCCAGTTTTACTGACTTGGGGGAATGCTTACAATGTAAGTGTAAAACAATGCACAGTAAAGAACTACACAAACAAAAAGTCCCATCTTAAGACTAGAAATAAAAATATACACATGTATGTATAATATTTTAACTAGAAGTCTTCAAACGCTGAAGGAAATATAAACAGTAGTTATTTGTGGGCTGTGAAATCATAGGTGATTGCTGTCTTATTTGTACTTTCTATATAATGAATATTTACTATTTATTAAAATCTTTACTTTTATTAAAAGGTTTTCTTTTAAAAGAAAAAATTCAAATGCTCCTTATTTTGAAATTTCTGATCTTTCCACACCAGAGTGAGCTCATTCTCTTTTTAAAGTACTATGTAGTTCTTTCATTACTCTTATAACTTATTCATACAAATGTCTTTTCGATCTTCCCTTCTAAACTGTGCTAATTGAAAGCAAGGATCAGTTTTTTAAAAATCACCCCAAATAACCATACTGCCTTCTTCCATATAGAGCAGGAATTTTCAACCTTTTTGATCTCACGGCACACATAAACTGGTAACTAAAATTCTGCAGCACACCAAAAAATATTTTTTGCCAATCTGACAAAAAAAAAAAAAGTGTAATTTTGATTCATTCACCCTGAAGGCTACTGTTGTGTTAGCTTTGTCATTTTTCATTTGACAATTTAAGGGAAAACAGGTCAGGGCCCCCAACTAAATTGTCAGGAACTGAATTTTTTAAAAATCACTGCGGCACACCAGTTGAAAATCGCTGATATAGATGGATAAATATTTGATGAAAGAACACTAAGGGTTCATTAAGACAGCCCTACTTGTCTTTCGGTACCCAAAAATTCCTTTCGTTCAGCTGATCTTTGAAACAGAAGTCACAAATGAAGCAGTGACTGACATGAGCTTTTCTGAGCACAAAGTTCAGAAGTATCTCAATTCACCAAAGTTGCTATCCCAATGCCATTTGTTTCCATCTTATAATTTCACATTTGAGAGAAAAATTGGACATCTTCATCAATTTCTTTCTTTCTACCTCTTAGTCTACCAATGATGGTTCTTACTTTCACCTCCTGTCCCAGAAACAGTCTACTGCCTCTGTATGCAACACCCTTCCAATGTGCATGGGAAAGCATCCCTTCCTAACTCTTCAATTATCCTCTTTCTTCTATTTCAGCTTCTCTCTCTAATCTGGTTCCAGCTCCTCCATCTACCAACATGCTAAAGTCTTCTGTAGCATTAAAGAAAACCAGAAAAACCCCTCGTTCTCTCACAGGATATTTTATCTTTTGCCTTCTTTGCTTCACTTCTTGAACAAGTAATCTTAATAATCACTGACCCTTCTTCTTCATTTCCTGTACACTGCCCTCCAAACCATTACAATTTTGCTAATTTAACTTTCTCTCTCCCACACACATGCACTATTAAATACACTAATTAAAAACTATTAGTTTTTATTAAAAATGAGTAACACTATTAAAAACTATTCTTGTTCAGATCACTAATTTCGTTACCAAAAACAATGGGAAATTTTGAGTTTCCATATAATTGAATCTATTTTCTGATACTGCTAAGTGTCGGCTACTTCATTAACTTTCCTAAGTTCCCACTTTGCCCAGTGTGTCCTCCTACTAACCTTTCTTGCTCAATCAATCCCTCTTCGATGGCTCCTCCTTCTCCTTTGCTCCTTATTAAAATGTCAGTGCTGGTCAGGTCTGACCTTGGTTCTTTCCTAATCTACTTCTACTTTGTCTAGACAATCTTACCCCTCTTGCTTTAAATACCACGTGGCTAAAGACTTGGAGACATTGGTCTCAGGGTCTGACTACTCAACTCTGCACTAGATAACTCTATGTAAATAACCCATAAGTATCTCAAATTCAGTATGTCTGAGGCTCTGACTTCCCTCCAAACCTATTCAATATTCCTATAGCTTGTGTCTTGCTTTATAAAAACCAGCATCAAACTTATCTCCCAAGTTAGAAACCTTGGAACTACCCCACACAATTTCTTTACCCTCTCACTCTCCCCCAGTAAGTAATTGGTCATGAAAAATTCTGTTGAGTTTACTTCTGAAAAACCTGTAAATCCAGCCTTGAATTCAAGTTCTCATCTGGTCTGCACTATTCCAATAGCCTCCCAAATGATTATCTGTATGTTCTTACAAGAATTATTTTTGTAAAATAAAATCTGGTCCTGTGATTCCTCCAATTAAAGACATCTTGCTGTCCAAAGGAAGAACATCTATTGAATGTAGCATATAAAGTCCTCCATATTTTGACTCTGGGTTTTTCTTGTGCCCCTTCTAGCCCCACCATGCACTCTATCTTCCACCCCACTGAGTTTAGCATTTCAGGGCTACAAAGTTTCTGCCTAGAATGCCATTCCCTTCCATCCTCTACTTGGGAAAGTCTTTCCTACCTACCTTTAGCATCATTTCCTGATTTATCCGGGCACGTGTTAGTGCACACTTTTTGGTCTCACGGAACCTTGTTCATGCCTCCATTACAGCTTGTATCACACTGTCATAACTCTCTAATTCATCCTGGATATTACTCTGCCTAACAATAATGCCCAACCCATATGCTCGAAATATATTTCTGCTGAATAGATAACAAAATCAAAGAGTTGATTTGAAGTGAATCACATGGCTAGAAGTTATGACATACAGTCCTGAAGGCCCTAACCTGCTTTTCCTCATTAGACTGAAAAAGGATCCCAAAACCTTAGGACTCTTAAGACCCAGGACCCAATATATATCCAAAAATCATTATTTTTCAAAGGTAGTAAGAAGCTTCCAAAAAAAGAAGGAAATCTTACCTCGAGGGAAAATCCCTGGGTCCATAAAGGTGGCCATGCTGAAGTTGGCCAGCACAAAGAGAAAAACAATCGCATTGTAGATGGGCACTGCAGGTGACACATTGAGGCTTAGTCCTGGACAGCTGCACAGGTAAGAAAGAAAATGAGGGACTGCCTCTAACACTTTGGACACCAACCCATTCAAAGATCTATAAAGATTCAGCCCCCATACCTATATTTAAATCTTGTGCGGTTCACCTTTGCTGTCTCAAATATTTAATACTTCCCAAAAAATGGGTTTAGTTTCAGCACAGAAATGCTCATTTTACATCAAGGTACAAGACTCCGAAAATCTCTACTATTAACCCCTTCCAATAAGGTCCATATTCTTCAGATTCTTCCTTCCCTGGAAGATCTTTCCACGTGTTTTAGAACCTGTTCTTATCTCCTTTTTAACAAGGCACAAGAATTAGGGACTGAATATGTAACTGATACCAGCTATACTCCCTTCTGGGAAGCAGCCTGAGGCTTCTGGATCCCAGCCATGTCCCAGTGACCTATACATTGGCCCAAAGCATGAGACACCACCTGCCTCTCTGGCACCCACTCCCTCTGGCTTTGTGTAACTCTCAACTGCCTGAAGTTTCTTCACTGCATATTACTGAGAGTTTTATTCAACTAGAGGCTAGTTCTCAAGGTAAAAAAAGAACAAAAGAAAGCAAAACCCTCAACACCCAACTATGGATGAGTATCAAATCACAGAACTAGACCCTGTGAGGTCTACAAATGAAGCAGAAGACTAGGAAATAAAAGAAGAAAAGATACCAGACCAAAGCACTCTAAATTCTGTAGGAAAAAGAAACTGGCCAATATACCCAATATTCCTCAGGGTCCAAATCAAGAGATATGCTTTAGGTAACTTTTCTTGGACGAAAAACAAGAGTGCCCCAGTCCAGGATTACACTCAGTTTCTGTCGGGATGTGAGTCTAGGAGGAATGCTGCAGGTGTTCTTCCTTTCTCTGATGATATCCTGGGAGCTGGAAGTTTCAGAACAGAGATGTGCTGGTTGCTTTGTCAGTAGTACCAAAGGCCCTCTCTCTCCTGTCTGGGCCCAGGAAGAACTTCCCATTGCAAGACAGTGGCTAAATACCCTAATCTGCTTTGTGGCTGAGAACCTAATCTCCAGAATTAGGACAGCATCTGTTTTTGTCCCCTTTATCTAGACCAGTCAGAAGGAAAGGAAGAGTTCATTGAAGGGAAGGAGGAAGGGGCCAGGAGAACAAGACAGCATGAGTCTGCAGAATTCATCCACGGCAGTCCTGGATTCCATTGTGATGTGTCTCCACCAAAACAAAAAGCACAGCCCTGAATCGTGTGATTCAAGACAGTGTGCAGGAACTGAGCTCCTTAATGATACAGATAAACTAATAATAAGAGACAAAGGTGATTGTTACAAAGCATCTCACAAGTCTTGACCACCCCATTTTAAGTAAACATTCTATGCAAGGATTTTTAGACAGTAAATATCAACTCTCTGCTTCTCCTGATAGGTCAGTACATAAGACTGGAAGATAATGAAGTTAGAGTAAAGGCACTGATTTTAAGTTTAAAACAGACCTTGCATCACAGTTCTGGGTTTATTCTATCAAAGTCTCCCATGGAAGTGTCTTCATCTGGGGGTTCTTTGGTTCAGAAAAGATATCCCCCTACCTTGGCACGGTTTGGGATGAACTACAAGCAAGAAGGAGAGTCCTTACAGAGCCCCACCTAAAGTCTGATTTCCTAGGCTCCTTAGGAGGGAGGGAGGGAGAAACTGAAAACCAGTCATCCAGGTTAAAGCCCCTCCCTAGTACTTAGCTGTCACTTCAATTTCCGCCTGGGGAAGAGGAGAAAGGGTGACTCACTTGACTCCTACAGCCTGGGAAGATAATTAGAAGAGAAAAAAGAAATTAAATACTTAGAACACTGAGGTACCATGATTTAAAAGTCTTATTCGTAGAACTGGCCATTATGGCTACTTTGGCAGCCTCGAGCTTCTGAAAAAAACAAGGGTACCTCCGTTCCCAAAGGAAACTAAGGTGAATGACAATGAGACATCAGCCCCATTGCAGAGCCAAATGTCAGCTGTTCTGACCCCATTCTTTCTGCATTTCCGAACAAAGCAAATTACACAATTTCTGTATCCTGCCAGACACCTACCCTTGGATAATGAACTTTACCCCTATAACCTTCTTAATATAAACCCATCCTAATTAAAGCGTGAAATCCTAGAATCGAGTTTCAGTATCTGTTGCCAAAATAAAGCCTGCCCCAGAGTAGAATTTCTAGAAATGATACAAATAACTGCATAGGCGGTATTTGCTCCTAGATTTAAATCAGGGACCCACTGATTCCAACCTGAACACTCAGGCTGAGGGAGCACCCTACCAAGGAGAGACATGTGTGAACAGAGACTGTTCCTGCCATATCCCACGTTGTTTGGCTTGGGAGAGGCTTGCTGTTGCTACAGTATTTTGTCAGATTCCTAGGTGACCACCCCAAGTAGCCTGTCTGAATCTGTTGCCTTTGAAGGAAGGCAATGAGGCCTGAGCCGAGAGCTGTTGGGGCTCGTCCTCGGCCTATAGCAATAATCATAGAGCTCCAAAGCACAGGGAGGGGCCGCAGCCCGGAAGGCTGGCTGACTGACTCACTGATGAAACTCCCAGACCTATACCACCTCAGAAAGAACAGGTTCTTCTGCCCACCCATTCAGCCCTCCCATTTTCAAGCCAAATAAAATTGGGAGAGTAGGTTTCAATACCTATACTCTTGAAAATCTGTTTCCTAGCCCTCTCTAACACTTCCAGTTACATAAATGGCTTAATTCCTGGTACAAAAAACAAAGTAGGAGTCAAGAAGCTTTGGATTTTAATCGTCTCAATCAATATTTTGCTAGGTAGCCTTAGGTGATCCGCAGAAAACTCTCCAGGTTTGATACTTCAATGACATAATACAGATATGAGAATAAAGAATACAATGCTTGAAAAAATCCTAGGATTCCATCTAAACCAACTGGCTTTACTGGACATTCACTGGCTAAAAGATACACACACAAAGGAACACATTACTAACTATTGCCATCACCACCAATTATCATTCCAGCTCCACCTTCATCCTTAATTCCACTTCCCCGTCTGAGGTACTAGAGATTCAAGAACACTGGAAACGTAGGCACTACGCTCCTAAAGAACAGGTCTACGCATTCCATCCATGCCTAGCACATATTTTGAGTGTATGACTAGTGTTTCTTGTTAATGAGGAAAGGCTGGAATGAATATCCCACTTCCTGGCCCTGAGGATCCTCAAGATTCCCCAGGAAAACAATTTCTCCCCTTATAGGTGGGTAAGTTTCTCTTAAAACACTTCATTTGTGGTATGCCTGTAACCCAAACTTTCAAGCAGCTCAGTGCAAGACCTGGGACCTGGGCACTTACTCCTGGACGAGAAAAAAACATAGGGAAAGAAAAGGAACAACTGCTGCTCAATTGCTGTCCTAAATCACAAGTCTGCTCCCCCTCAAATCAGGTGCTAGCACCCCCACAGACATGAAAAAAGGACCAAAGGGAGAGTCAGTCGCTCAGGCTGCCCAACTCTCTGAGGTAAAAGGGTTAGAAGGGGCCAGAGGTAGAAACTGAAAGGAAGAAAGCTCTCTCACAGATGGGACACTGGAATGACCATCACAGATTTCTGCACAACCCTGACTTTTTTCCTCCCTGCAAAGGATCGCCTATAGCATGGGGGGGTTTACCCCCCATGCCCTACCTACCGACTTTAAAAATAAACAAAATGAAACACTGGCTGACTTCACTCACAGTTCGAGGTGACTTCAGAGGATACAATTCAGTGATTTATTTCAAATGGTACTACCAGGAGCCCTGAAAAGGTCTCAAGGGTCCCCAGGAAGACAAAGAGGAGACACCAAGTGGCCAGGCCTCTATGCACCAGCCTTACTCGAATCAGACAGCTCTACTCTTATGTACTGGGATTCCAAGTAAGATCTCATTTTAAAAAAGGGTCATGTTGCTTAAATAAACTGCTCTAGGTCAACTTCCTCATTATACACAGGAAGAAACAGGTCCACAAAGTTTAACAGGCTTTAACGAAAATCAGTCTCCCAAAAGCACTTACTCCTCTGACCTAGCACTGACACCTTGCTAATCACAAAAGGAGTCTAAAGAAAGACAGATGAGGATCCAGGCACATTATCTTCAGTGCAGAGCCTAAGGCCTAACTGGGAGGGGGAGAGTTGCTTTAGCAGAGCTCTCCTTCCCAAATAGTGAAAAGGGGAAAGAATTAAGACATGCTCCCCAGAAACTCACCTGCTTAGGTTTAGTACTGAACAAATTCAGTGTATGAGGGGCATTGGGCTTCTAGAAGGAAGACCTCAACTGTTCAATTCAAGCCTCTCTGGGGCAGATCACCATTTTTTGATGACCAAGCCCAACTGATAATTTCTGCTCATAGCTTTCCCTACTTGACAAAGAAACATGGCAGGTAAATTACACCTAATTGGTGGAAGCCTTTATGCCTCCACTAATTATGTCTGCCAGCTGAAAGGGACTCTTCCTCCTACTCTCAGTCCTCCAGATTCCAAAGTAACTCGCCTGGGGCTCACAACGATAAAAGAACAGATAGCTGTAGCCTCATGAAGAGAATAAGAGGATGACAGAGTAGTTGTAGAGTTAGGGCCCCAAACAGAAACTGGTTCACAGAAAGCCTTTCCCTTGTGTCTCTACTTGAAATCATAAATTATTTTTTAGGTTGTATACAGTTTTAAGTGGAGTTCTCCAAGGAATTGAACCTCAAAAAGGATACAATGTGTAGGAGAACAGTTTTTGAGAACTGTGACACTTCAACCCAGGTACTTGCTTGTGGAGGAACTGCTACAGTTACATGGACAGGGAGAGATGAGAATTTCAGAGTTTCTCCATAGGTGGGCAGGTGACCCTCGGGAGGAAAAGAGAAACCAGAAATTGGTCCTGAGGAAAGTGCCAGAAGGAACTTTCACTATGATTTAAGGATTCTAACTTTGGATCAGGGACAGTAATTCCAAATAGAGTTACTTCAAAATTCTTTTCTCCAAGGCTAAGAGACCATGAAATAAGGAGGGCCCCCACTTCTCTGGCACCAGGGAATGGAAAAGTAGGTTAAACAGCTTCAACTATCAGTTGAGAAAATGCCTATGTCAGGACAACAATTTGTGGTGAAACTGGTATAACCAGCCAAGCACTTCAACGTTTCCAGATTAGCAAATTAAGAGCAAGGATCCTGCTTGCCCTATCTCAAGAACAGATGGATTAAAAGAGAAAAAAACCACTTAGTCCCCTGAATTTACAACTTCCCTAAGGCCTTTGCCCCTGAAGGAAAACTGAACCTGAACCTCCCCAATTAAGCAGGTCTAAGAGCGTCTGTCAAAGTGGTCTTGTACATATTCCTGACATAGCACCACAAATGGCTACAAGGATACTAGGAGCCCATATAAATGCCCCATGGTTAAAATGTTGATTCTAACTACTGGCCATAATAGCAGAAACCAAAATAAGTCTGACACTAGGATTCACTCCTCCTTAAGGCAGTCAATGCATGAAGGAGGACAGAACACCGAACATGTTGAGACAAAGATTATAAAGCTCAGAGAAGAGCAGGGCTGCTCTAGATCCCTGAGGGATTCAGCAGGTATGTTCAGGCTGGAGAGCTGGGGGCCAAGGAATCTATGACTTCTACTCATCAGAGGAAGAGGTGAGAAGATGATGCTCATACCTTAGGTAAGAGGTCTTTCCTTATCTAAAAACTAAGTAGAAAACATCACTATTACTTTGCTCACCCACGTTTTTTAGAATTCCTTTTGGCATACACTTAATTTGGGGGATTTCCCTCCCTCCTTTCTCAGATTCAATTTGTATGCTATTTCTCCCCAAAATAGTAACTGCCCCCACCCCAGCAATTCCTGCTTCATTCCTCCTTCAATGAGTCCAAACAGCTTTCATTCCCTACCACTTCATTTTCTTCCTCTTTCCAGCAACCTCCCATTGCTCTAAACAGCACCTCACAATTAGGTCTGAGCCTGAACCACAGCAAAATGAACTCTCCAGAAAAATCTACCATGCTGATTGTTTCAGGAGCTACAACGACCGTATTTTGCCGTGTATAATGTGCACTTTTTTGCACAAATTTTTGAGGGAAAATAAGGATGCACTTTATACATGGATATAATGATTACATACCATGCGCATAATAATCCTGTGTATAATGCGCACAAAAATGTGGATGTGCGTTAATATGTATGGCAAAATACTAGAACACCAACTCAACGACTCAACAATTTAAGGCTCATAAGGCTGATACTTGTTATTTTATGAAAAGGTAACAGCAAAGACACTTGCCAGATGGTTGACAGTTAAAATACTGGAGAAAAGGGGAAGAATAAATCATCCTGTCTCCTCCAATAACAAGCAGACAAACAAAGTCTGAATATCCCACGTGGGAAATCTTTTAATTACCAACTGCTTTTCCTAATGCAACTAGGGAATAAGAGAATGACTGCCATTCCCTTCAGCAGGAACTAATATAAAGGAAGTCTCCTAGAACTCTCTTCCTAAATAAAACTTGCCTTCACTTCCCAGTGGCGTTCACGACTTAAGTAACACTAAAAGCCAAAACTCTCTCATTGGTGTATCTTCTAAGTCAATTCTGAGATTCTCCGGTACTCTAAATTTAAGCTTCATATATCCAGGGGAAAAGCCACTGCTATCTGAAAAACCTTTTGTCTAGTCTAGTTCTCTGTTCCCTGAATGCTTAAGGTGCTTTAAGCCTCTCTGGTGATTTCCTCCCACTTCCTTCCTAGTTCAGGATCATCTAATAATGGAGCTGGGTAGGAAAATATGAACATCTGTGATTCCAGAGGAAGGGAGCCAGGGGAAGGTAGAGGATTCAATGGAGTAAAATTTCTAACAAGGGGGAGAGGGTGGGCTTTTCTTCACTCTTCCTACCATGTCTCTGGGATCTGGATTTACTTCTATCAGACATTCAACACCCAGTCACTTGGCTTTGAAAGCAAAACTCAAGAAAAAAAAAATACTCCATCGCCTCCCATGGAGTGCCCCACCCCCCAAATTCTACCACTGGGAGAAAACTCACGTAAAGGCAAAGAAGAGGGTCGTAGCTCCCACTAAGAAGATGGCGGCTGCTGAGACCGGAACATACTTGCTGGGTTTGAATCTCTTTCCAGACTCTGCGGGCATGTTGGAGGTCTGATGGGAGATCTGCCCTGCCGCATAGCCCAGGCCCACACAACGGCAGAACAGACAAGAAAACGGGATGAGGGCAACAACGGAGATAAGAGCACAGGACACCAGGGAAAGAGGAAATTTTAAATTATCACCCTTCCCCCTCCCAAATAAAACCAAAGGTCAAAAGATCTCAAATGAAGGAAAGCACATGGGAGGGGGAAAGGTGATTTCAAATAATGAGTAACCACCTCCCCAGAACGAGGCAGAAGAAGAGATTAAGAAACACAACTTGCACAGTTTAAAAACTGGAGACAAACAGGAGGCTGTACACATGCAAATGGTTGCAGGCAGAGAACACAGGCAGCCAGACAGATCAAGGAATAGCTCATGGATGGAGGTAAGTCTTCAAAAGGAAAGAATGGGAGAAGACCAGGGTAGGGCAGAACACTTTGGGCAAGGAAAAATTCTTCTGAAGAGATACCGTTGTACCTCTACAACTACTACACTTCCACAAAATATGAGTGCACCAAAGAGGTGTGCTCTGTGTTTCTATTTTAATCCAAGAAGGAACCTGGGGCCCCTTTCCAGCTTTAAAGAGAAGCTGTTTTTACTGCAGTCCTTGTCTTTTTGGCAGTTTTCTTAATGCCACCACTCCTTGACTTCAGAGCTGGTAGTCTGGCGATGGTGGTTTAATTTTATTTATTTTCTCTTGATGGCTAAAGCTGGGCAGCAGCTGTTACAAGATTGAGTTGTAAATCCTTTTCTTTGAAGGGGGAGGGAAAACAGATAGAGAGCAAGCTTGTCTGTCTTCAATCTCTTCTTGTTATTCCCAAGCCCTTTAAGGGCTCTGTTTCCTAGAGAGTTCATGTAAAACTAAAGGGAAACATAAAATCCCTGAGGCCATGTTCTTCCCAATAAACAAAATAAGATGAAGAATCAATTCCACTTGATGCTTTTTAAAGGTTACTGTAGATGAAAGCGAAGTTCCAAAGAGGTCCCTGTTTCCAGGTTAGGCAAAGTCTCTGATCTTTGTTCTTCAATCTTGGGCTGTCTGAATGCAGAAGTCAACTGGGTTACAGTGCCTCACCTGGAAAAACAAAAACAAAAAACAAATATCTTTATCAAAGAAATTCTTTCAGGGCATTTCTTAAGAACATCAAGGCTAAAACCCCACAGGCCTTTTAAAAGAAAGATTAGTTTCCACTTCATTTATGTGTATGATGGGCTCTTAATTAGGAGGACAATGGATCCAGGCTCCTTCACTCTCCTTAGTGCTGTTCATATTGGAAAGAGAAGAACATGGCTTCACCTGGCCTAAGGTCTTCAAAGAACTAGTTCTTGTAAGGGGCCCATCTCACCTGACACGAATAGTAACAAATACCAAAGTCTATGAACAAACAAGGGCACAGCAGTGAAGGGCAGTCCTAAAAAACAGATTTCTTTTTGGACGAAGAGTAGTTACTGTACAATGACAAAAGAAAAAAAATACCCTAAAAAATTAGGACAGTAAGTCTCATTTCCTTTCTGTGAATGTCTCTCTCTCTCTTATCCCTCTATGCTTTTTAGTTATAACCCTGAAGAGGCAGAAGCTGAATTTTTTTGGTCTTTTAGAGTAACACATGAAAGGACCTGGGTGAGAAATGTTCTTGACTGAAAGGTAAGATGTCCTATATGAGAGACTGAGTCAACCCTAGGAGCTGGTCCTTTTCTTCCCAATTCAACAGTTTTTTTTATTCCTCCACTGGCCTATTAGGAAGTGAACTAAACCCCACCTTTCCTGATACGATTAAAAGTAACAATTATTTATGTTGATGGTAGTAGCAAAATAACACTAGCACTTTGGATTTTATAGGATGCTTTTCATCTAGTGATCTCAAAGCACTTAACTCACATTAATGGTGACAGAGTCCCTTATCCCAGCCCACAAAATTGAAGGCTGGAGAATGCCTGAGGCTATTCCACTGAATCATTAGAGCAGTCAAGTTCAGAGGCCAAACCCCTTCTACCTGTTTCTCATCCACTAAACTGCCTGACCAGTGATGACAACTTGGGATCGATAGACCAAAAATTTTACTTGGTAGAATTTTATAAAAATAAAAGTTTTAACACACTCAAGTGGTCTAGTATTTCTCTTAATACCAAAGCCAGAAATTAAAATATTAGAAGATTCAAATAATGAAATATAAACGTGCCCTGTAATTTGTCATTTCCTCTCTTACCTGTGGCACGGAAAGCAAAGGAGCCCTCTCTCGCTGTCTCTCTTTTAAAAAACAGCATTTTAGAGGGCTGAACAGCAGTAGCAAAACAAAGTGAACACCCAGAGATAACAAAAACTATTAACATCCTAAAAAATATAAACTCTCTCTAGCTCCTAATTCTGTAACTATTTAACTCTCCTGTTCCTATAATCCTAATCTTCTGAATGTAAGCCTAAGTAACTTTGTTAACAATGAGAATCAAATTTTTGATTTGTAAACAGTACTATTAAACTTTCCCCTCAAAACCTCAAAGATTAGAGACAAAGGAAAATTGTATTTCTTTTTTTAATCTAGAACAGAATATCATTTAGACAGCATATACTATTTCAGATTATATTTTCTAACACGAAAAAAGTCACATGGGCTAACACTGCCACAGTAATGCAGGATCATAAAAGACCATGCAATTTGGGGGGTATGATACTGAGAAACAAAAGAGATCAGCATCTGAGAGATTTGGGGGATATACGCATACATTAGAAGGGACAAGACAAAACCTAAGAATTTATTGGGTACAATAAACACATACCAAGTCTTAGCTGAGGGATGTGCTGTGGGTAGTAAGGATAAGATTGCAGGGTGAGTGTGTTTCATCAGAGCCAATAGTCTGGATCCATACCAGTATAAGAACAGCATGCAAGCATGTGTATGACACAGGCAGAATAATCTATGGAATGGAAATATGTATATATGAAAGAAACTAGAGAATATGTGGTTTGAAGGCTTTAATAAAGATTTAATACAAGGAATGCTTTAAAGGGGGGAAAGGATATGAACAGTACCACTAACAGCACAAGTATTGTTTGTTGAAATAAAAAGGTGTAAGAGTATAACAGAGTAAATCAGAATACAAAGTAATCAAGGTATCATGGAATAATCCACATGTCAAGATACTGGCTGAAGAGTCAAAAAGAAGTTTAACATAGGTATTGTCATTATATACCGAGGTAGAAAAGTACATGGATATGTAATTCTTGTAAGCATTAGGTGAGTTTTGAAGAATAGGTGATAATGAGCATTCTGAAGAGCTCTGATACAGTACAGAGGGATACTGGGATAAAAGGATACAGGTGCGAATATAAGATCAACCTAGACAAGATGACAATCAGGAAGTGAAAATTCCAAGGCAGAAAAGGGGTCTACAATATAACATATACCTGATCCTACACCTCCTTTCATAACTTTTAAGTCACTTCTTATTTCTCATCTCAGTATTTTCATTCGACCAAGTAGGTAAAACATCTTCCAACTCCCTGTCCCACAAAGAACTAGATTCCTATTGGTAAAATATTGGCAAACACATCCGAGCTCCACTTGTAAAAAGTACAAAGTACTAAAAGCATGGAGCACCCGGCTAGTGGGGGCGAGGAAGCGGACGGATGGGAGAGAACAGGTAACAGGATGAGGCTTGAGCCAAAATAAGTAACAGCAGACTAAGAGGGGTGAGGGACCTGAAACGCTGGGACGTAAAAGAGGAACAGCACTCACTCCCCACCCCGAAGCTGGGGCAAGAAGAATCCCGGTCTGGGGCACAGCTGACTGAGACCAAGAAGACGGAATCGCGGCGGCAGGGCCCACTGGGGCTGCGGGAGACTGCAGAGCCCGGCGGCGCAGGGCCGGGGGCGGAAGGGGCGGCGGCTGGGCGTCAGGCGCCGAGGGGGGCCGGGGTCCCGAGCTAGGACCAGGCGGCCCGGCACTAACCCGTTCTGAGCCCGGACGGCCTGAGTCCCCGGCCTCTCCTTGTCGTCCGTTTCCGGGCCCCCGGGTCCCGCCGCAGTTGGATGACCCGGCCCGGAGAAGGAATGGGGCCTCAAACCACCACCCCCTCCTTGGTCCCCCTTCCCTAGAGGTCACTCTCCCCTCCCACCTCACTGGCCCCGCACTTCCGGTTCCGCAGGGGCCGTGTCCTCGGTACTCACCCTCGGAGCGGTTCCCGTCACCGCTGCCTTCGTTATCGCTACCGCCTCTCAGCAGTGCCGTCCGGCCTCTGAGAGGCAGCGCGCGGCCCCCGCACGCTCCACGCCCGCCCTGCTTTGCGCGCTCCCGCTCAGCGACGCTCGTCTTCGAGCCGGCGCGCGGCCGTTGCCCTTAGTGCCGGGTCTCGAACCCTTCCAGCGTTCCCATTGGCTCCCTGTCCTGGGCGCGCACGACGTCTCGCGCTGGGCACGTTTCTCTCATTCATGCGGCTCTTGCCGCCGCGCCCGCCCCCGCTCACTCGCCCATTCACCCATAGCCCCCACCCCCACGCCGCTCTAGGGCGTGCGCGCGAACCCCGGCGACCGCAGCGACCTCGCGATCTGATTGGCTGTAGGAGCACAGCGCCGTACGCACGCGAGACAACGAGAACGCGCGCGCAAGGCCGTGGGGTTCAGCAGAAGACTGGGAGAGGGGGTTTCGTGTACAGCGCAGGAGTCAGAAATGAGGAAACGACTGGGCGAGTCTCCCCTTTTCCTGCGTCCTACTTCCTATTCCTACTGTATCCAAGCAGAAATCTTCAGAAGTAAAAAGCAGTTATATGTGTTTATTGGAAGAACTCAAAAGCAAACAGCTATCCTCTCGAATTCGCCAAACCCCCTCCACTTAAGTGTGGTACAGTCAAGACAGGCTTCTAATGTAACCAATCACCTATAGAGGCCCTGTCTTCCTGCTTCAGCTCCTTCATTCATTGGCCAAGCTTTTGGCGACTAATTAGCCCTCCCCTCCAACATTTTTTTTTTTTTTATTATGGCGAAAACTTTATTTAAAAACAATCTTGATGAAGCCGTCCTCGGTCCAGCGTGTTTCATGGTACCAGCAGAATCCCAGGAAAATGCAATGAGCTGGGGCTGGAGCTGGGGCTGGAGCTCCTGCATGGAGGGGGCGACGGGACTAGAAGAGGCCGTGTGGGGAGAAGCTCATGCCAAAAGACGGGCTTGAAGAGGAAGGAGAGCGGCCCCGAGGCTTATAGCAGCAGTGCCTTCGGTGGAAGGAGGCGCTTGGAGAACGCGCCGTCTGAGACGGTGGCAGTACCTCAGCGAGCGATCCTGCTCTTGGCTCCGTTCAATTCCCTTAGTTTCTCACTGCAACCCAAGGAATGGGCGCCGCATCCCTAACCTCGCTGGAGGGAAAAGGTTCTGTAGAAGCTCTTGCCCCTTAGCAAGGTGCTGGCCAACTCCAGGTATCACAGCGCCCCACTTTGCCCTAATTAGCCGCATGACGCTGTGAACCCTAGAGCAAAGGCCAGGTGTTCACTCCTCAATTAGCTTGAAGCCCTTTCTCTTTTGAAAGCCGCTCTAGCTATTATGTAACAGTCTTTCAAAAAAATACTCCACTAGCCACTTCTCCGAGGCCAAGGTTCCTTACCTGTAAAGTGTAATTCTAAATCCTGCGATCTGTCTTTGGGTTTGGTGTCAAATGTTGCTAGTTTAACTGCTGCTTGATACATCAGCACCAGGCAGCAAGATGAAGGAGAAAGGTCTGCCTTCTCTTTTCTGGAATATAGTCTATTTTCTTATCTGAGATGGCATATACATCAGGTTGTAGTTTACTCTTGCTAAGGGTTCCAACTCACCATTTATTGCAACGCACTTGAGAGTTCTATTTAATGACTGTTTATTTTTTAAAATGGCATCTTCTAAACACTTTTGACCTTATGAAAGGTAAAGTTAAGGTATTACTGGAGATAGAATATTTCTTTTTCTTATAGAGGTTTTTCTGTAAGGTTGATTCCTTAGGAAGAAATTAAATTTCTTTATTATTGCATATTTTTCTCGGATTTTAAGACTTCCTCACAGATTAAGCTTCTTTCTTTTCCTTTCGACAGTCTAAGAACCTGTAAATTGTTTTTTCTCTTGGTTCTATAGTGCTAAATGGAAATAAAATTTCGATCCTCTATCATCAAACTACACATTGTAAACTCCCCTGGAACACTCAACTACTGGATGCCAAGCTCCTAGCTGGATGGATGAGCATTAACAGTGACATAATCACTATCCTAAGGTTTAGAGATTCCAGTTTCTTGTCCAGTGTTCCCTAGGATCGTGCAAGATATTTACTGGAAAGAATTTTTAATAGATCATAAGGTTTAAACTGCCAGCCACTTCTGAAAAGTATTCTGAACAGTGAAATCTTGGCTAAAACAATGACATATCCAAGCCATCAAACTTCAAATAAATTACTATATATCAAGAAGTATCTTACATTTTTTTCTAGTATAGTTTACCTATACTTCTTCAAATTCTCTTCACTTGTATTTCCTCATGCCTATAGGCGGCAAACCACGGGCACTTTTTAGTTCAACTCACTAGTAAATAAACAGGCAGACTAGAACAAAACACTATCCTTGGGTTTAGACTCAGTTAGAAAAGAATGATCTTTCAGCACCAACCTCTTCTTTATGTTTAAATACTGCTGCCTTCCCTTGTGCTCTGGATCCCATTCCCTTCACTCCTGCATTTTCTTCTGAACTTTTTCTTTGACGTTTTATTTGAAAATGAAAAACATACAGAAAAAAATAGGATAGTGCCAAGAACACACCATTAAATTCTTTCCCTCGAGTCTATTATGCTGAGCATTCTATCTAAAAACTAACAACTCTCCCTTGACTCCATATCCCCACTACTTCCTTTCCTAGTAAAACTTCTTCAGTTGTCTATTGTTATCCTTCTTCAGTTTTTATTATCTCAATATATCCCGAAAAGACTTTTATCCCCACCATTCCATGTGTAGTCTTTAATCTTCAAGGTCAATACCAACATGCATGCTTCCAGATCCACAGTCAAGTCTCCCTTGCTAGCTTCCATTATACCTCACCTCTTATGTTTCACGTGCCCTTGAAAGTCCATCTTCTGCCTTCTGATTTCTGGTCTTTAAGTGACTTCATCCAATATCACTGCTTTAAATGCCTTCAATAGCCCAATAACTCCCATGAACCTTCAGCCCTACCTCTCCAGATTCAAGTTTCCAGCTGTTTATGTGGCAACTCCATATGGATGAGTAATAGCTCAAACTTAGTGCCAAAGTAGAATGCAACATTCTCTTAGTCCCTCTGTGAGTTTCCCCAATCTAATAGCCAATTCAGTTGCTCAAGTAAAAAAATGTAGGAATCATCTTTGATTTCATTTGCTTTCCTCACTGCTCCCATCAGCAAGTCCTATCAACTAACTGCACAACCAAAATATCCCAAGGCAACCTAACTCAAACTCCACCTCTGCTGCCCTACTCTAATTTCCCATTGATTCTCACATTGAAACATTTGTGTCCTTGCCTCTACTCTTGCTTTTATTATATATTTATTTTAGGGAGGGAGAAGGGAGAAATATCAATTTGTTGTTCCATTTATTTCTGCATTCATTGGTTGGTTCTTGTAGGTGCCCTTACTGGGGATCAAACTTGCAACCTTGGCATATGGGGACACTCTAAGCAACTGAGCTACCCTGCCAGAGCTACTCCTACCTCTTTAATCCATTTTCCACACAACAAAGATCTTTTCAAAATATAAATTAGATCATGTCATTCCTGTTTACCTGCTATGTAATTCATATATTGAAATCCTAATCCCCAAAGATGATGATATGAGGTGGGGCCTCTGAGAGGTACTTATGTCATGAATAAAGAGCCTCCATAGAGCTCCCCTGTCACTTCCACTACGTGAGGACACAGCCAGAAGCTGGCAGTTAGCAACCTGGAAGAGTGCCTTTATCAGAATATACTCTGGTGGGTGCCTTGATCTTGGACTTTCCAGCCTCCAAAACCATGAGGTTTCTGAAGTTTATAAGCTACCCAGTCCATGTAATATTTCTTATAGCATGCCTAAGGGACTAAGATACACCCCCTCACCCAGCCTCCCACTGCTCTGGGATTACAACAGCCCTACATTATCTTATCTTTGCTGCTCCTTCTAACCTCATTTCTTAGCACGCTCCTTTGATTCACTACACTCCAGCCCTGTAGGCCTTTCCTTCACCAAACACATGGGGCTTTTTGCTTTCTTACGTTTTTGCACTGTTTCCTCTACCAGGAAGATTTTGGCCAAATTTTACACAGCCATTCAGGTCTCAACTCAGGAGAGGCTTTTCCTGACCACCCAATCTAAAGTAGCCTCTCAGTCACTGTCCCGTATCACCCAACTTTAAATCCCTGAAGAGCATTTTTCTTTTTTTGTGTTTGTTCTATACCGCAAGCTCCGTAATACTCTGTCTTGTCCTCCATCTATAATCATCCCTCGCATATAGTAGGTGCTCATTAAACACTTGTGGAAAGAATGAACAGATGAAGGGCACTAGATACTTATTCAATAATCCAAGTCCAAAACTAAGAACCAATCATTTGCAAGAGATCAGAGAATGGGGCTGTCCTGGCTTCTTACCACCTGAAAGCTCAACTTACACTTTGACTTACGTTGTGATTACAAGCAAATAGACAATAAGAAAGATAGTTGCAGCTGGGAGAAAAGTGCCTATCTCTGGAAAGCGATTAGATCTGAAATCTCACCTCGACTTTATCACTAGCCTCTTTGGTTCCTCATAGTTACCCCTGCACTAAGAACAGATTTAGCATCTATTTACCTAAGTACAGAGGAAAGGGGAACCATGATAAAAATTTACCTGCTTGGCTTACAAGTGGGCTCTTGGTTTTCCTCTTTTCTAAGCATTTAACAATAAATCATTCCAATAATGTTTCTATAATTGTCAGAGGAAAAAACAAAATTGAAAAAAATTATACCAACATCTGTGATATAGCAAAAATATTTATTAAAATAATTTTCTTCCAAGTTTGAACTTTATTGTAAGGAGTCCTTCTAAAACATTCTTTCATCTTGAATAAACAAGGTAACAAATACTACATCCAGAATATAACACAATAATTTTAAAAAAAAAACTCTCCTAAAAATTAGTCCACATACTAGCACAGTGAAAGAAATGGAAATCTCCAGGGCCTTAGAGAATTCAAAGTGGCACCTTAGGTGATCTAAGAAACCAATTATATTCTTATAGTTTTCCTTTCAGTTCAAGATTAGAAGAGTTAGGATACCACGACCTGTTTTAAGAGGTAGAATTGTGCTTTTTACTAATGCACTGTTCACTGGTCAGTCTGGCCTTGACTCTCACACTTCAGCCCACCTGCCTTCGGTGATGGCCATATCGCCAAGCCCCAGGCAGCAAGGCTTCCTGATGTCTATTTAAGATCCATGAACCGGATATCCATGATGAGAA